CCTATTACAGATTGTTGTCCTCACTGTTTATGCATTCTTGTATGGAAGACTTTATTTGTCGTTGAGTGGAGTGGAGGAGGCAATAGTAAAGTATGCAGCAGCTAAAGGAGATAGTTCACTCAAGGCAGCAATGGCGTCACAGTCTGTAGTGCAATTGGGTCTGTTGATGACACTACCAATGATAATGGAGATTGGGCTAGAGAGAGGATTCAGAACTGCCTTGTGCGATTTAATCATAATGCAGCTTCAGTTGGCGCCTGTCTTCTTCACTTTCTCACTTGGAACAAAGGTTCATTACTATGGACGGACGATACTACACGGGGGAGCAAAGTACAGAGCAACAGGTCGTGGGTTTGTGGTGAAGCACGAGAAGTTTGCAGAGAACTACAGAATGTATTCGAGAAGCCACTTTGTGAAAGGAATGGAGCTGATGGTACTGCTGATATGTTACAGGCTGTATGGGAAAGCAACAGAGGACTCAGTAGCGTATGCGCTTGTGATGGGCTCAACCTGGTTCCTCGTTGGTTCCTGGTTATTCTCACCGTTCCTTTTCAACCCCTCGGGGTTCGAATGGCAGAAAATAGTTGATGACTGGGATGATTGGAACAAATGGATAAGCAGCAGAGGAGGGATTGGAGTGCCAGCAAACAAAAGCTGGGAATCCTGGTGGGAAGAAGAACAAGAGCATCTGCTACACTCTGGATTTTTCGGAAAGTTCTGGGAAATATTTCTCTCCCTCCGCTACTTCATCTACCAATACGGAATAGTCTATCATTTGAACTTGACAAAGGAGAGCCGACTGGGAAAACAGCAGAGCATAATAGTATACGGACTGTCGTGGCTCGTGATTGTTGCAGTGATGATCATACTGAAGATTGTGTCAATGGGGAGAAAGAAATTCAGCGCGGATTTCCAGCTCATGTTCAGATTGCTGAAGCTGTTTCTCTTCATCGGATTTGTGGTGATAGTAGGAATGCTATTCCACTTCCTAAAGCTGACGGTGGGAGATATAATGCAGAGTCTGTTAGCGTTTCTACCAACGGGATGGGCTCTGCTTCAGATCTCGCAAGTCGGGAGACAATTGATGAAGGCTGTAGGAATGTGGGGATCGGTTAAGGCTTTGGCTCGAGGATATGAGTACATAATGGGAGTTGTTATCTTCATGCCAGTCACGGTTCTCGCCTGGTTCCCTTTCGTCTCTGAGTTTCAGACTAGGCTTCTCTTTAACCAAGCCTTTAGCCGTGGCCTTCAGATTCAGCGTATTCTTGCTGGTGGTAAGAAACAGAAATAATGAGACTTCACTTCACCATCACTTGCTCTTCTTTTAAAACAATTCTCTGAATTTTTTCTTATCACTCTCTATTGCCTCTTATTACGCTTTTCTTGGTTGATGTGTTTGTATGTATCCTCTTACAAAATGTTTCCCTTCTTTTACAAGTAAATGTTCAGAACTAGTACTGCTAGAAAAACAAAAAAAGAGTGTTATTAAGGTACATCAGTTATGGAAACTGCTAAGATCTCCAACATTGCTCACAGATATAGGAGCATCATGACATTATTATTTTCTGTTTGTTTTTCAAACTTTACGACTAAACTAGCTCCAGAAACAACGATGAAACATCCTAAACGAAGATAGCATGAGGAACATACAAAGAGGAGAAATCACTAGTAGAGTTATAAAAGCTAACAACACCTAACATTATTGTCTCTTGAACATGAGATTTTGTTTACCTACAAGTAGAAGATTCTACACCTCTGAGAAAGGACCTACGCCACCATATTTGAAACGCCTTGCTGAGATTAGGACACTCACTCCCATGCTTTGAGAACCACCTGAACCATTCCATGAACACTTGATACTGCTGCTTCAGCGGTAGCGTTAACAGCGTTTGCCCCATCCCTTCCTCTACCTCCTTCATGTCTAATCCTTTCTTGCATCTTTGTAGCCACCCAAAATCTACTAACATTGGCCTGAACCACGCTTCTACCAGTCCCGCTCTTGCTTCTCCTCCGCATTGCACTCTCCTCTTTCCCATTGCAATGAACATTACCCCTGTTACTCTGCTTAATTCGTACCTCACCATTGGCGATGCCTTCTCATGCATTTCCACTAACCTTCTTTGCTTCCCCCACATCTCCACAAATTCTTCCGCTATTTCCCGATCTATCATGATTTCCAACAGCCAGATTATGTTCTCTACCTCCCTCGATATAACTTCAATCAATGGCTTTCCCTTCCTGCTACTACTATTGCCCTCTTCAAACAGCTTAGCTAGTGAATCCACACAGTGCTTGCCTGCTCTATATATGTCTTCCTTGTTGATCTCAGGCTGTTGTTTCTCATACACCGAGCTTTTGCAAAGAAGACCCTTCACCAATGATTTTAGCTCGTTTCTAGGATTTACATCACTGCAGGATGTTATTGACCAAACCAGCTGCTTCGATAAGCTGTCTTGTAAATTTTCTGTCTCGTTTAAATTAAATCTTGCCAAAATTTCGCTGGTTGTATCACCATCGAAGTTATAAATTGCAAGAACTTTTCTCAGCTTTTCCTCTTCGTCCTCTGTCCACGGAACAACTTCAAGATATTTCAGACAGGACAAGACAGCTCTTGAAAATTTTATTCCAGCCGCTACCTGTTTGTAGTTCAGAGACTTTGTTAGCTTCATCAGTCACAACAATTTGTTACAGAAAATAATGAGAATCAATCTAACACGCAGAGAAGAACAAAGATCAAGATCCACACAACTGTGGTTCACACTCAAAGACAACAAATACTAGATTACTAAAAACCAGATGTGTCAACAGATGCAAGCAAACGTATCTTTGTCTACAACAAGAGAAATTTTAGCAGTAAGTAACTTGCAAAACAATTGTTTTGGGCCTCATGATGAAGTTCGAATCATGAATGACAGACTAGTCTGTAGCTGAAAGCTAGACAGCCGAATACCTCAAAAGGCAATAAAATCCAACTACTTATGTCGACAATGTACTCTAATAATTGAAGATTTCTTCATATCTATGCTTTGCGTTTGAAGAACAATCAAAGGCTCGAAGGTTTAACCAAAGAGGCGAAAAAGGCAGAGTCTTATCAGTGTAGATAACTAAGATCAGCTATATATACTAACTAAAGGCAATATTCTAGTAACAAGAAACACATCAATCTCAGTCTCAATTCAAACATTTATTAAGTGATCAGCTATATATAGTAACTAAACCAAATATGTTAATAACAACAAAAGTCTTAATCTCAATGTCAAACATAATGAAAATTTGGTAAGAGCGAAATACTGTAGAAGAAGAAGGAAGAGCATTTTCTCAACCTCGAGTACATCAATGGCTCTGTAAACACCCATTTTCACAAACTTGCTGATAATGCCATTACTTTCCTCAAACATGAGTTCTACAGTTTCCCTGAAAACACCAAGATTCTCCACATCAGAAACTTCCATCCTGCATGTCTTCTTCAATCCTAAAGATGAAGACTTGTCCGCAATCAGTGCAGCGAACACATCCGAATTCGCTGCTAAAACCTCCGAGCTCAGCTCCAGCACCAAAACCCCACCATTTCTCCCCTTGAGACTCAGCCTAGCGTCGTAACCCGAACCCGAATCTGAGACGGTTGACTCCATCTTCGGAGCTCGGAAACTCTCTGAACGCAGCTCTGGTGCAGAATCTGCAACCACATCTTCTTCGTGAGTGGTCTCTTGGATTGTTTTGATGGTAGGATCTGAATCTATGGGAGAAACCCGACCCGGCGATAAGATCCGACGCGGGTCGATTCGACCTATTAAAGCAGATTTGGAGCTCTGTGGTGAGCAAGGAACCGATTTGGGGACCGGTTTATCAACATTGTCCGGTTTGGTTCTCTGATGCGGCGGCGCTTTAGCTGGTATGTGGTTACGAGATGAGAGTGAAAGAGCATCAGGACTCGCCGGAGGAACGGCGAAAGAGCAACACCACGATCGACGCCGAGATAGAGGTCCGGTGCCGGAATATGTAGGTTTACGGATGTCAGAGTCGCTCATTGTCATCAT